TGTATTTACAGAGAAGAATCTTAGTTCTTAAATCTACCAATTGTCCATTTTTGCATCAAAATGTTTATATTTTTGTACTAGGGAAATTTACATATACAAGTATATGTATCTTGTATTCCTTGCCTTTCTTCCTATTATTATTAAAGCTCTAATTATTTCACTTAACTGGTGTTCTCTGTCAAAAGGTAATATATGCACACAGTAAAAATATTCTCAAGAGTAGGAAAGAGTATAAAATATAAAGTAAATCTCCTTTCCTTCTAGACTTCTAGTTCCCCAAAAACAAATAATGGTAATGTTTTCTTTCAGAAACAGTTCTTGCTAAACAATGGCATGCATATCCGTCCCACTTTTTTCTATGTAGGAAGATATTAATGTTACATAATAAGTAATATACAATGTAACATATTATGTTATATAATAAGTAACATAATGTTACATAATAAGTAAATTTTGCCTTTTTATAAAACTCTAAAGTATATATTTTAGAGAATATCCCATATCAGCACTTACAAAACTTTATTTCCTTTTCATGGCTGTATACTATTCCACTATATGTCACCATAACCACTCCTCTATTGAAGACAGAGCGTTGTATCCAATCTCATATTATTACAAGCAAAGCTTCACAAACATGGTTGTCCCTGCAAACTGGTAGAGCTTTATATGTGAGCTAATTTTCTGGAAGTGCAAATACTGGGTTACAGGACATGTACATATTCAATCTGATAAATACTGTCAAAATGCCCTCCAAATAGGGTGCCCTAAACTAGTCACCCTGATATCAGAGGGGCCTGTTTTTCCCTATACTTCAGCAACATAGCACATTATACTTTTTCATCTTTGCTAATAAACAAATATTTAATTGCTGTTTTAATTTTCATTTCTTAATTATGCTGGAAAGTTGAGCATCTTCTTAAATTTATGTCATTTGTATTTCAATTTCAATTACTTGCTCCTATCTATCATCCATTTTCCTACTGAGTTGCTATGTTTCTTATTGAAAACATTCAAGTTGAAAACATTTCCATTTTTTAACTTGTCTTTTTACTTTGTTTTATAGTATATTTAGCCATGCAAATATCCTAAATTTTTATGTATTCAAATGTATCAAACCTTTCTTTATAGCTTTTGGGATTTGTGTTGTAACTGGAAAGCCTTCTCCATTCTAAGGTTATTAAAAAGAGTCTTGTTTTCTAACACGTTTATGGTCCATTTTTATATTTAAATCTTCTTTCCAACTGAAATTTACTTAAGTGATAAGGCAGAAATTTAAGGTTCTTCAATTTTTTTCTAGATAGACAAGCAGCTGTCACAAAACCATATATTAAACAAATTATTTTTTCTGATATGATCATTTTAAATGTAATTTTACCAGTCACAAAACATTTCACAATGGAGTTTATTTCTAGAAAATCTATGTTTACTAGATCCATACTACTTAACTATCTAACACATGTTAGTAAATGTTATCTATTGTTAATATTAATGAAAATTACACTGAATTGAAAGATAATGTGTTAGAGGAATCACTGGATGCGTGTATGATTAAAAAACAGATATAACTTACTATTTAATTTCACCTTATAGAAGTCTTTAAATTGTTTACTGGGTAAGCAATATCACATTTCAGAGTATTGAGCAACACCACCTATAATTTCTTTTGGAATGATTTGTTCCTGATCATAAAAGAAGAAATGTTTTATAGTTCACTATTCTAAGTTCCTTATTTATCTATTACTATGTTAAGAAAAGTGGCAAAATAATTTTTCCTGAATTTTCATCGATACTATGTACATAAAGTAAGATATGCAGAGGTAGAACACCATTTGAAAGGCTGTTAAGACTAGTTTTGATTGAGGAAAGGGCTTGTCAGAAAGCCACTATTCTTGAAACTTACAGAAGCTAAGAAACAGGAAGCCAGAGGTGCAGGGGCACTATTCCAGAAGGGTAGGTCAAAAGTTCAAAAAGCTCCAAGTGAAACAGCGCCACAAAAAACAGACTGCTAAGTGCTGTTTCAGTGCTGGACAAATGCACACTAATGGTCTTTATCGCTTTGCGCTGAGCGTCAGATGGAGACTGAAGCTTGAAAGTGGTGATCTATTGAATCTATTGTCAAAAATACATATTCCAATTGTAGCAGTTTCATTTTAACAGCTGTATATATAAAAGAAATACTGCATACACATAAAATGAAATCTCATTTCAAGGGAATAATATTCCTCCATTCTTTATATCCTTTCAATTTCTATCCTTTCTTCACAAACAATTCAATCTCTCAGGACTCTTTATTTTACTTCTCTTTCCTTCTTTGCTTACATTTCTTTATGAGCTCTATTTCTTTTTTCATACCGCCTTCTCCACCTTCAGAGTCAACTTTTTATTATTCCTGGAATTTTATATCCGGAAAGAACATAAGACTAAACAGAAGTAATAGTATGGATGGCCCCAAACAGAAAAAAAGCTAACAGAAATATTATTAGGCATTTTTAAAGAATGCATTGTTGAATTTAAGTTTATATTGAAATTTGTACTTAAAAGCTGTGGAGGCTTAGAAAAAAACAGATGCTTGAAAAATTTAAGAGCATCTCTATCACAACAATGAAACTCATCTGTTAAAACCTCACATAGACGGATAAGAAATAAGACTAGCTTTCCATAGGAACTCAAATGATTTTTGCTGTCTTCCCTTTGAAATATGAAACACTTGGACCTAACCAGCGTGGCTTAGTAGGTTGGGCATTGTCCCACAAAGCTGAAGGTCGCCAGTTCCATTCCCGGTCAGGGCACAGACCTGCATCGCAGGCCAGGTCCCTGGTTGGGGGCTATCGACTGATGTTTCTCTCTCATATAGATGTTTCACTCCCTTTCTCACTCCCTTCCCCTCTCTCTATAAGTAAATAAATAAAATCTAAAAAAAAAGAAAATATGAAGCTTGTATAGCTTACAGTTTCTAGAAAGATAACTTATTTTGAAAAATTTGAAAATAAAAAGCATTTATTTTGAAATTGAAAAATTCTGTTCCCAATGAAAGACAACATCTTGTCTTTAAAATTCACTCCTTTCTCCTCCTGGGTCCCTTAGGTGAAACCTCAATCACCTTGCCTTCAATTTCTTTCTCTCACGTTCTCTTTCTCATCTGTGCTATCCTTTTCATTCCCACAACTTCCAATGGCAGGAAGTCATTCCAGACTCTATCCTTTCTCTTATTCCCCTTAACTAATCCATCAGCAAATGCTTCAAAACATCAGAATCTGACCACTTTTCACCACCTCCACTGCTACCACTGTGGCCCAAGCTACCATATGTCTCACCTAGTTTATTGCACTGGTTTCCTAACTGGTCTCCTTACTCCCGCCCTTGACCTCCAGCTTCATTCTATAAAGCAGACTGTGACTATGGTTCTCCTTGGCTCAAAAATCCCAGTGGCTTCCTAGCCCGTACTCCCACCCCCATGCATTACTGCTCTGGTCACATTTCCTACCACCATTCGCCTAAAGTCTCTTGGTCAGCTCAGCCCATGCCTCCCTGTCAAGCCGGGCTCTTCCCTTCCCACCCTTTACACTTGCTATTTTTCTGTTTGGAATTCTTGTCCTCTGGATAATGAATCATTCCTTCAGGTTTTTAATCCAAAAAAGTAATCCTCCCAAATGAGGTTTTAACAACCATTCTTTCTGAAATTTTACCATCCTTCCCCTCACATATCAAATCTTTCTGTCCTATTTGATTTTTTTCCTCCATAGCACATACTATGTATTTTACTTGTTTACCTAGTTCATTGCCAGCCTCCCCAACTGGAATGAATACTCCACGAAGCAGGGATTTATCTCTTGTGTTCTCTGCTATATTCCCAATGCCCAGGACACATAGTAGGAGCTTAGTTAATTTTGCTGAATAAATGAACTAATAAACAAACAAACACAAACAAACAGGCAAACAAAAGAATGACTCCAGCTTGGACTCTTACTGCATTTTTCCTGGTCTCATACAAGCAGTCTCCGTAAGTAATCCTATGTAACTATAATCAATAGTTTACCTAACATAGGTCTGATCCTACTGCTGTTCTGATGAAGAACCTAAGTGGCTCATAAATTTCTAGTGAGGAAACTACAATTCTATAGGATAGCATCAAGACCCTTCATAATCTGGATAACCTTTTCTCATCTCATCTCTTCATATCCCATTCTTACAAATTATGCTATGGACAAGTATCTTCCAAACTTGAGTGCTTTACGGGTCCCTTTTAAAGGGAAAATATATCTCAATGGCTTTCAAGGTCACATCTAAAGACCCCTATTTGAGAAACACTAATTTAAGAAATTGATGTTTAGGGTATATAAAAATGTCTTTTAGTTACAGATTATTACTGGTAAAATAATTCTTATTATAACCAAAAGGAAAACAAAATTTTAAAATCTTGTACCTTGCACCCGCTGAGAGTAATCCATGGACTCCCATTGCAGAAATGAAATTACTTACCCATCTTGGAAGAGACCTATGCTCACCTGCCTCAATGACTTTGTCCCTGCTGTTCCTCTGTCCCTAAATATCCTTCCCCTAACTATAGTCATCGCAATTCTACTCATGCTTCAATGCCTGGTTTAATTATCACCTCCTTCATGAACTCTTCTTTCGCATATCTCATCCAAAACTTTTCTCAGTCTCTCAGGGCAATTTTATACCTCTTCTATGGCATTAACTACATTCTTCTTCCTTATGTTACACTATTATTTTCCTGTGGTTATTATAGCACCTGGATAGCAAGAACATGTTTTTCTTTTTTTATTACATACTAGTAGAGTATCTTCCATATGGCAACTAATAAATGTCCACTGAATTAATCATTACATAGGGGAAAAAATAAATGCTACTATAAATATGACTCTATTGATTGTTTTAAAAATAGAACTGTTCACTAGAAGTTTATAAGCAAACATATATAATATACTCATAACAAAAGAAAAAATGTGGGGAAAAACTAAGTTATTTATAGGAGTTACCTTCTTTTAAGCATTAAGTCTGATATAGGTATGCATCTTAGTCCAGTACCCAAAACCATAAGGAAGGATGTAAGCAGCACAGTTATCCGAAGACCTGAAAGGAAACAAAAACATCTGGATTATTTTCTATTTTTCTCTTCAAGTCAGTCCAATGTTAACATTAAGAACAAAGATGTGTTTACTCAATCATACTGACATTATATCCTAATATTATAGTTTTCTCTATAACTCCCAACATGGAAAAAAGACCTCTACATGAGGAAAATGAAATTATTCTAACTTCAATAGAAAATGTGAGAATATCAAGGATAGAGGAGTAAGTTCCATCAGCTCTGTTTTTTAAAAAAATAAATGGCTAGAATGTTTTATTCATATGTTACGCTAAAAATATAGAAAATAATTTTAAAGAACCAGGTATTTTGGTTTTATACCTCTAATATAAAATTTCTAATTTTTAAATGCTAGCTGAAAAAAACTCTCAACTTCCCCTATAATGTCTTTTAATATGATACATTATTGCTTTAAATTTTCTCCAAAAATAATTGGCCAATCATGCATTTTCTATTATAATCAGGATAAGCTAATGCTTGTTATAGGGTCACAGGAGGTGATCTTTAGAATCCTTTGATTATTAACATAATAATGGTCTTTCTTTTTGTTTTTCTTGATTTATCAGATGGCTTTCAACTTACAGAAAGATCTTTTTTAAAAAAGCAGAAGATAACGTGGGTTAGATAGCTTTCCTCTTTGTATCCCAATACAATCAATTATTTTGAAAATGTGTGCCACTGTCTGGTCACATGGATATGAGGGTAAAAAATATAAAAATAATGTAACTGAAAATAGACACAACAATCTAACTATGGCAGAGTAATACAATGGGACCATATCTTCCTGCTATTAGAAAGCTGTACTGCTGTTACTATTGGTTGGCCAAAAAGTTTGGTTAGTTTTTTCTGTACAATGGCTCTAGTAGTGCTTAGTTGTCTTTAACCTCATTTGAAACAATTTTGTCAGATTGTACTGTGAGAGCTGTCATATCATTGTGCACTGAAAAAAACATTAAAATTGATAAAGTTTTGTGCAGCCATTTAATATTGAAGATGGAAGAAAATACACAACGTTTTCAGGGTATTATGCTTTATTATTTCAAAAAAAGTAAAAACACAACTGAAATGTAAAACAAGATTTGTACAGTGTGTGCAGAAGGTGCTATGACTGATTGAGCGTGTCACAAGTGGTTTGCGAAGTTTGTTGGTACTACTGTCATTTTGGCCAAATAATTCTTTGCTGTGGGGCTGTCTTATGCATTGGAAGGTAAGTTTAGCAGCACCCCTGGCCCCTACCCACCAAAAGGCAATAGCAGGAGATAGGTGACACACTCGACATATCCAAATCAATAAAATTATTGGTGAAAATGAAAAATCTGTCTTTTATTTTACGGAAAAAACTAAACACTTTTTTGGCCAACTCAATACTAAACTAATACAGTCTTCCAGTTTGCAAGCTGCCGCATCACACAGGTAACTATATTGAGTATACGGCAGAGGCGGCAATGCTTCTTCCAGTGTCTCCCAAACTCAACACCTCTTTGATACCATTTCACAGTGAGTAGACAAACTGCTTCATGCAAACTTTTTTCAGACCTGTCTCTTTTTTTGGCAAAGGGAAGATGGCTAAATGGTTGGTTTTCAACGGGCTTCTGAGCTCGAAGAAAACTGAAAGTAATCATTTACCTTTCTTCTGAAACATCTAATCTGCTATTAAATTCTGTCCAATATATTTTTTTCACATTAGACACAGATTACATTTTCATCTCTAGAAGTTTAACGGTCTTTTTTTCTGTGCCTCTCCTTGAATTTTTCTACCTTCTTGAACATACACAGCATATTTAGACTAGTTGTTTTGGTGTCCGTGTCTACTAATTCTATCATCTGTGACATTTATGGGTCTGTTTCTATTGATTGCTTTTTCTCCTCTTTATGAATTGAATTTTCCTGCTTCTTTGCAAGCATGGTAATTTCTGATTTGGATATCAGGCACTCTGAATTTTACCTTGTTTGATGATGGAGATAGATATATATATATATATTTTTTTTCTCCTTTAAATATATTTAAACAATGTTCTGTGATACAGCTAAGTTACCTTTGATCTTCTCAAGGAGTATTTTAAGCTTTACTACATGGAACCCGAACATCCTTTAGTCTCGGGATCATCTACCTTTAATACTGAAGCAACGCCCTTCTAAGTATTCAGCCCAACCTCCTATGTATGTGTTATGAGATTTCTCTATTCTGGCTGATAGGAAAGTGAACTATTCTCAGCCTTGTAAAAGGGAACAACTCTGGGAATTGTTCTGCCTGCTCCTTTTTGGTGGTCTTTCCTCTAGACTTGGGTAGTTTCCTTACATGTACCCACTGATCAGTGTTTAGCTGAAGACTCAAGAGAAACTCTCTGTAGATCTAGACCTTTCTCTCTGTGAAGATTTTTCCCTATCTGGTAGTCTACCCTAAGAATTCTAGCTATGTGGACCTCTTTGAATTTCCAGTTGTCTCCTCAACTTAAGAAAACTTCAGGGCTCTATTTGGGCTCACCATCTCTTCAGTGCCGCTTGGAAATTCTCTCCAGGTAGTAAGCCAAAGCAATCATAGGAATCACTGTACTGCTCTGCCTGTTGTCCAATGTCTGAAAACCACTGTTTCATATATTTTTATTTTATTTTTTGCTTTTAGTCGTGGAAAAATAAATTCAGTTCCAATTTCTCCATCAAGGACAAAACAGCTGTTGATTTAATTTTATCAGACTGTAATACTCACTATTCCTGGCTGCAACTGTCTACAGACCACCGCATATCTGCATCCAGGTCATTCACTCTCACTATTTGAATATGAATGAGCTCATTATTACTCATCAGGATATCACTTCTTTCATAAATCCGGAGATTTCAATAGCCACTAGATCATCCTTTCAATATCCTGGCCTCTCAGTCTCCTGACTTCTTAATCCACAATCATGTCTTATAACCTACCTCAGTTGTATACTCTCTTGGCTACACTCTGACTTTTAGTTTACCATAATGGCATCTATGACAATTTTAAGCATTCTGTTTTCAGCCATAACGTTGTTTCTTTCCCACTCATTCCCTCTAGTACTGTAAATCTTCACCTAATTGGAAACTCTCATCCACCTCATGTGGTGTCTTTTCTCCTTTACCCAGTTTAGATTCCACGGCAAATTGTTATCACTGCCTACATAACCCTCTACTCTTGGCCTGCACTTTCTTAGACCTATTCACCTGGTAAAGAGCAACTGTGGTTAAATCTCTCTCTGCCAACGCTGCCTATGCCTGTGCTTGCCTGACAAAGCAGGCTGGAGGAAAATACACAAACATGCTAACTGGCCTCTCTTGAAATTAATGCCAAATAACAGAGCAGACCCTTAATGTCCAACAATCCAACTGTATGTCGTGCACCACATTATGACGTTTTGGACATCATAGACATATGAAATGAATGGTAGTCCCGTAAGATTTATAATGGAGCTGAAAAATTTCTATCTCCTAGTTACATCATAGCTGTTGTAACATCCTAGCACAAAGCATTACTTATGTGTTTGTGGTGATGCTGATGAAACAAACCTACTGCGCTGCCGGCCATATAAATATATAGCACATACAATTATGTAGAGTACATAACACTTGACAGTGATAAACTATGTTACCGGGTTATGTGTTTGCTTTACTGTACTTTTTTATCATTATTTAAGAGTACTCTTTCTACTAAAAAAAAAGTTTGCTGTAAAACATTATCCATGTTACATAGGCAGTGGCCTCATACATCTCGCCTTTACCACGCAACTTGATTGCATCATTTTCTTTTATGTTTGATTTAATCTCATGTTACTTTGTACAGTAACAGGCTGTGCACACTTGCAGTCTAGGAAAAAAGGCTATACCATATAGCCTAGATGTATAGTGGGCTATAGCATCTAGTTTAGTGTAAGTGTGCTCTATGCTGGGCACACAATGATGCAATTGCCTAACAATGCTTTTCTCAGAGGGTATCCCCATGTTAAGCAGTACATAATTTTAATTTCTAGTCCCTATATTCTCTACTTTCCTAGGAAATAGTTTCATAACTTAACCTCTCTCTTCGATCCTCCAATAAATGTTCCCTTACCTTCACTTGTCAGGTGATAATTTTGCTTCCTATTTTCTGAGAACTATAAGCAAAGATAACTTCCACAAGCTCCCACCACTTAGTGTATGCATTTATATCTATACACTCTACCCTCTCTTCTGTTACTACTGGAGAATTAGCTGTCAACGATTTTACCAAAGGCCAACCTGTCTACCTGTGCTCTGGAGGCCTGCAACTCTTGCTTACTCAAGGATATGGTAGAGCAGGTCTTTCCTCTCCCTCTAGCATTGTCAACTTCCCCCTTTTTTATTGGATCCATTAGGATGATGCATTCAAGATATGCTTCAGTATCTCTTACCTTTAAAAATACCTTTTCAGTAGCCACATTCCCTCTGGCTATTGCCCCATTCCTTGCTGCCCTTCACAGCATAACTGCTTGAAAGAAATAGTAACACTCATTGTCTCCAACTTTTCTTCTTGCAATTTATTTTGAACTCACCCCCACCACTCCAGTGAGACTATTTTTCTTAGAGGACACCAAAGAGCTCCATGTTGCTAAATCCAAGGCTCTATTGTCAGTCAACACTAGATGGTTCTTTCTTCCTTATTGTTGCAACCACTAAGTGTTAGAATGGCCACAGACTCAGTCCTCTTCTGAAGCAACACCCATCTCCACCTGTGATCTCTTTCAGCTCCAAGACTGAGTACATCACTGGTGGACAAATCCCAAATTTAGTGCCCAGGCCTCTCCCCTGCACTCCAAATTTGTAAATTCAACTGACAGCTTAACCTATCTACTTGGGTATCTAATTCGCATTTCAAACCCCTGATCATGCCATCTGCCCCAAACTGCTCCTTCCACAATCTTTCACATGTCAGTAAATTGTAACTTGATTCTCCCATTCACTAATGCTAAAAAGTTGAGAAACAACTTATAGACCCCTTTCTTTTCTTTACACCCCACCATCAATCCATCAACAAATACTAGTGAGTCTACTGTTAACATATATCTGGAATCTAACCACTTTTCAAATATTCCACTGCTATCACCCTGGTTGGAAGTTACCGTCAGTCACATCTGTGTTATTCTACTACCCTAATGGGTCTCTCTGGCTCTTGTTCTCGACATAATAGCAGAACCATTATTTTACTCTTCTGCTCAGTCTTCCAATGGAGAGAACCCCCCTCATTCCTCAATGACCAATGTCCATACAGTGGCATATGACACCCTTCATGATTCAGCTCCTACTATCTCTGACCGCATCTCCTACTGATGTTTTCCTCAGGGCTCAACTCCAGCCACAGTGCTCTTGGAGAGGCCAAACAAGTTTAGGACCTTTGTTTTTCCCAAAACAGTCTTGTCTGGAACTGACAAGTCAGGCTTCCTTTTAACCTCAGGTCTTCTGCTTGAACATGCCTTATCAGTGAGACCTTCCCTAACACTCTATACAGATTATCACCCAATCATCTCCCTTTTCTCCCTTGTCTTGCTTTATTTTTCTCCAAAGCACTTTTCACCATTTGACATACTAAATATTTCATTTTATTGTTTTTTTGATGCCTGGATCTTCTTACTAGAAAGTAGACTACGTGAGGGCTATCTCCCCGGCACTTAGCACATATACCTGTTTTCTTCTTGAACCTTTCTTCATTTGGCTTCTAGGGCACACTAGCTTTTGGTTTTCCTGTTATCTCACTAGCTAGTCCTTTTTTATCTCCATGCTGGAAATGAAAAGTGGTAAGAGAGTACAAAACCGATCTCAGGAAGCTAAGCAGTCTTCTAAGCTAAGCTGGATGGGACCCATGGCAGCAGTAAGGCCCGGCAGCTACCTACATTCTAGGGAGAAAGGTATGTTAGAATCCAACAATAGCAAGAACTCACTTTCTATGCATGCAGATAGAACATCTGCAGCAGGACAGCCAATGTATAAAAGTTTAGCAACTTTCTCCTACTGAAAAGGAAAACCATTTCCTAAAAGAGAGAATTTTTAAATTTATTTTTTATTGCTTCGACCAACAGAAAATATAAAATTGAATTCACCATATAGTCACGAGAACTCTGAAACAACTCTTAAAGTAACTTACTCTCTGAAGAGAATAGGTAGTCCCCAATTTTTCTGGCTAGAGATAGCAAATAGAATTATGATAAGGGTAAAAATGAACATTTCTCTATTATAAAAACAAAGTTGGCTAAATTTAGCAAATAATATTGAAAATTGCTCTTGATTAAAAGGTAAATAAACCACAAAAGAGCATTTCCCTCTAAATTTAGTCAACCTTGTAAGAAGTGACTGAAGAATTGCCAAAGACTGCATGAGGTTAAGGAGAAATAACAAATACAGTATGGAACCCTCCACTGAACCCTTGGAACTGAGTGAGGGGGTGGGGAGACATTAGTGAAAAAACTGGTGAAACTTAAATAAAGACTATAATTTAGCTTAAAAGCAAGCAAATGAACAAAAACAAAAAAAACTCCATTTAATACAAGAACCTGAAACCCCACCTCAGCACCTAGTGCACATCCTCTGCACAAGTACTTGCTCTACCTGGAAGTTCCACATCAATCAAGACACACCTTCCAGGGCTGGGCGCCTTTCGTTATTAAAAGGTTCTTCCTTGTGTGGCTTCACCCTTGGTAACTTCACCCAGTTTAGTTCTTCTTTCCAGAACCACACACACATTAAGTCTAATTCCTCTTTTACTTGATCTCCACATATTTTATATCCTGACTCAAGCTTCTTTTTGAAGCCTGACACAACTAGTTCCCTTCATGTTTTACATTATGGTTTTTACATCCTTTATTATTCTTGCCACACAACTATTAAAGTACTCCAGTTTGTCAATAGCCTTCTTAAAATTAATGCTTACACCTGAACACTGGAGTAAATCCTACCAAATTATCTCTCTTCTTGTTTTAGACACTATGCTTCTCTGCCTAAAATCGTCCTTTTTTCGGCAGCTACGTCATATTTATCATGAATCATTTGCCACACTTGTGTGGTTTAATTTAATGCCTTATCATTCAATCATATGACTTTTTTTTTCCTTCCTCACAGAATCACACTGGCAAGTGGTAAAGTAAGATAGGTATCTGTCCGGAATATTATTCTGTGAAGAGAGAGTCTCACTCATTATTAAGTTTTATCTGATAATTATAAATCTCAACTGACACAGCTACCTAGTCACATTCACACACTTTAAAGCTGCCATCCACCTTTTCTCCGAAACCAAAGAGTCAGATCCGAGTTTCCCAACAGCTCTTCCTGGGCTAGAGTCATCTATTATGCAGCCAACTCATTACTTCCTTACATCTGGGCATCATCTGTTTACTTTCTGACCTTTCGCCCTCAACATCCTCAAATCTCTCTGAAGTCAAAGCTAAAGTCATTTTTGTGAGGTGTAAAAACATACACAGCACGTGCACAGGCAGACTCTGATGTTCACAATATGCAAAAAACGTGAACCTTAAAGAGAACGCTTAATCCCTGCTGTTGCATAATGGACCTTGATAAAAATATAATGGCTGCAAAGAAGGCTTCCCGTATTTGTTGCTTTGGGCACAAAGGGTTCCTAGTCAAGAATGGGATGCCAGCAGCACTCTCGTCACCTCACACAACCTCTAAGACGAAAACTGAGGGAGGAGGCTCCCCCAGCAGGGAGAGCGCGGGCCGGGCTTCCCGGAACCCCTCACCTCTCTTGTCCAGGAGCCACATGAACGCGAAGCAGGGCAGGAAGCCTATCGGCCCCCACAGCACGAGGAGCGCGATGTCCCAGCTGGAGAAGCCGTAGGCCTGGCGCGCCGAGTTCTGGATGGGGCCCCAGGTGTTCCAGACCAGGCCCTGCGCGAACCCCAGCAGCGAAAACAGCAGAAGCACCAGCCAGCGGCGCCCGTACACCCGCCCGGGACCAGAGGCCGCCACGGGCAGAGCCGCCGCCGCTGCTTCCCGGCTTCTCCAAACAGTCCCCGGTGCAGGCCCCAGCCCGGGCCCCAGCAGCGGCTGCCGCTCCTCCTCGCTGCTCCAGCCGGAGCCCATGGCGACGCGAGGCCCACGGGGCCCCTGCCCAGCGCGGTCCGGGTATCCCCCGACCAGCTCCGGGGAGATGCGGCGGGAGGCTGGAGGAGGCGGAGACCGAGGCTGCTTTGGACGCCCTCGGCCTCCGGGCCGCGCCTGGTGCGCCTGCGCCGGGTGAGCCGTTTCCCGGCTGGGACGACGGGTGGGTGCAGCGCGTCTGGAAAAGGCTGGGTTGCAGGGGTGGGATGACCTCCCGGGTGGTGAGAGACGGAGTGGAGCCGGCGTCCCAGAGGAAGGACGGGGAGGAATTGGAAAGGCAGGGAGGAGCGCGGCCGAAGCAGGGGAAAAGGAAACTCCCAGAGAGACTGTATTAGAAGAGGTTGGGCAAGGAACCCAGGTTGCTTGAGGAAGTGTCCAAGTTTTACATCATGTGACTAATAAACAACTCGACCTCTGGTCACTTAAGCTAGTGCTTGCTTCTATATTGGGTTTCTTATTTTTTTCTTGAGTTTGCAACTTCATAAATTATAGGAGAAGGTAGCATAAGATTGAGGCGTAGTAGGGACCCAGATGTTGCCACTTGAAAATCATTTTTTCTTTAGGTACTGTAAATACTGACTAGTTTTACCAGCGTTTTGTATTACATACCCAATAAGATTATATTCTAGCCAATTTTATTCATATATAAAAGATAGAGGCATGCTTCTACTTTATCTTCTCATTAATAGGTGGTCAATAAACGTTTGTTGATTAAAACTGGAAGATTTGCCCCCAAATGATTTAGATCCATCTGGGCGTTGTTGACCTCTTGATCACATACCAGTTGTTTATTCTAATATACAAATCTAGAAGTCTTACAGCTGTCGGTCAGTGCCCTTGAAAACCTAAGTGATTTGGCTCGTCTGGGTGGGAAAATGAATCGCAGGGAACACAATTAAAGAACATGAGATGTAGGTTCCCGGCAGCCAAGGAAACAAAGGGAGTCATGTTGCTGCCAGAAGAGCAAAAGAGGTAGAAAGAGAGGAAGAAAAGCGTGAAGTCTCCTACTTTCCAAGGCTAGTAAGAGTGGCAGCAGGGTAAACGAACGCAGAGCCCCATTCCACTGCTCCCAGCCCCGCACAAAAAAAAACAAACAGCCCCTAAAACTCCAATACAATTAGGTAGACGAAAGCGCCAAGGTGAAAAGGAAAGACCTGACTAGAAAACGAGGAGAAGCTGAAACGAAGCCAAAAAAATAAAACACTGAAAGAAGGGTGAAGTCTGGTTAAGGTAAAAAAACAGACACAACCGACACCACGTGGTTACATTACAACAAAGCCGGAATCAAAACAAACCTCTGTAGCTCCGCCCGACGCCCGGCGCCCGTCACATGACTTTCACGTGAGCAGCGCTTCCGGAAGAGCCCAGTAGCAAGCGCGTGTCCACTGTGGGGCGGCTGCAGAACGGGAGTGTTGTCCCTCGGCAGCGCCGCTCACCCTCCGCTCCACTTTCGGGTTCCGGGCGGAGCTGGACTCGTGCTAGCCATGGCTGCAGGCCCGGGGGCGACCGCTGATACGGGCTCTGCAGCTAGAATTGGAGAGGAGGAAGGTAGGTGCCAAATGACTCTCTTGGCACCTCTCTTAGCCGTTTGGTCTAGCTTCTGGCCCTGCTTTTAAACTGTGAAGAAACTATTTGTGTGTCGTGAACGTGGCTTTTTCTGATCCTCACAGAGGCTCTGTATCCCCGCATCGTACTGGCGGTAGTGTACGCAGGACGGTGTTTTGAATGTTACATTGGATTAAAATTAAATTTGTGAAATTGCAGCTCACCCTTGAGGTAAATGGAGATATCTGGGATCTTTGTGAACAGCTTTGAGCTTTGATTTCGGTGGAATCCTGCTTTAAAGAACGGTTGAGTTTTGGAAACTCATGAGACTGAGATCCCCTGTAGCATTTATTGAATGACTGCTCGGTTCCTGGTACAGCCCTGGCGACTGCCACAGGATCCAGAGATTGTTTATTACAATACTTTTTTTCCAGTTGAGTAAAGAGATACAAAAGGAAAAAGAATGATTAATACATGTGGTGACGTAAATATTAATAGTAGTGCCCGCTGAGTGAGGTCTCTCACCGGGAGGAAAGATTCCCAGCGCGGAAAACTAGCTTCAAGGTAGGAACAGTTTGAGGTGGGCCTTTATGATTGGATTAGATAGTGACGAGCTCAGGTGGTTGTAATGGGGAGGCGTGGAAAACAGCAGGAAAGCACAGGATGGACACGATTGGGTATCAGTCATGTTTGTCTAGAGGGGGAGATCATCATTCCAAACAGAAGAAACAAACCAAAACTTTGTATCTGACCCCAGCCTCCTGCCTTTATAACTCACTTGCTTGTATACCCCAAGGGGACAGTTTTGAACTTCATCTGTACCTCCAATTCATTGATCCTTCCATTTTTTTGCTCATCTGTATCCCCTAATCCCATTTAGAGAGTTCATGTCATAGTTTATCATTATGATCTCCCTTGAAAATACAGTATCTCTTGTCCCTCCCTGCCTTTTATCCTGGCAAAAGTAATACTCCAGATGAACTCAATTTTTTGAGCTCTTTGCAGCTCCACCTTTATAGATGAACTTTGCTGGGAAAAGGCCTGGACAAACCGATGACACTATAAAATGAAAGTGGTCAGCTTCTCGAATATTCACTCAGCATTGGCCTGAGATCCTTCTGATGCTCTGTTTCTGTGTAAGCCTACTTGTATTCTCTTTATCTCTTTCTCATTTTCAGCCGCTGACTTCTTTGTAAATCAGGTCAATTCTACATCTAATCTGTCAACTTTTACCCCCTTCACTATCAGACCCTTGTCCAGATCATCCATGTTTCTTACCTAAATCGCTTGGGTATCTTCAGGCCATGTGCCCTGTTTCCTATCTTGTACCCCTTCAATCCGTTCTCTGTTCAGGAGCAAAAAGTGACACTTCCTTACTTAAAATTCTTCAGTGAATTCCGTTGCACTAGAATTTAGAATAAAATCCAGATTCCTAACCATGGCCTACCAAAAGCTTTGATGTGGGTTCTGCTCTTGTTTCTAGGAACATGTCTTGTCACTCACCCCCTTCCTCTTACCTGCTTTTCACATGGCTGGTTCCTTAATCTTCAGGTTTCAGAGTATGTCATCACCTGAGACGTTATCAGAACAATCTATTTAAAACACTGTAGTTTTCCATGACCCCTAATCCTAAATGTTCTATAATATACCATGCTTCCTCCTTCATTTTACTTACCACAATCATATTACTTGTTTATTATTGTTTCTTCCATTAGACCTTAAGTACTTTGGGGATGGGACCTATATCTGTTGTGTTCAGCACAAGCAGCAAGTACAGTGCCAGGCACAATGGGCACTTAATACATATTTGTTGAGGGAAATGACTAAGGGCACTCTGTTCCAAGTACAGAGGCAGGAGGAGAAAGAGCTTGGCGTGGTCCAGGAACTGAAAGGAGTTGGTTTGAGGAGTGGTGAGAGAAGAGGAGTCCCGAAGGGCACTGTGTACCAAGTTAAAGAAGTCTGGACGTTATGACAGTGGGAAACCTTGGAAGTGTTTTTGGCGGGTGGAGGGTAATACCATCAGATACAGAGTTAGGAAGGGTCACTCTGGCTGAAGGGTAAAGCATAGATTCAAGGGAGAAAGACTAAAGGTCAAAGTACTTAATCCCCATTTGTTTCAGTTTTCTTTGTAAAATGGATGATTATTGTGAAAGTTTAAAGATACTTATAGATCATCTAGCATAGTATGTGTCAGGAATTATCTAGTTAAGAATGGTAACTATTTTTACTATTAATAGGAAACACTGGCACTGGTCACTTGACTGATGTTGAAACTGAGGAAAAATAAATTAGAGATATCTGAAATTTTCCAGCCTGAGAAATGACATGTACATTAGGAACCTGAAGAAAAACGGAGGTGGTTGGGAGAGCACTGTTGATTTTTAATGTGAATGTGTGGAGTATAGATTTGGAAGCGTGCTGCCAAAGATGTCAAGCATGCAGCAGGGGAAGACAAGCTTTTTGTTTTTTATGGTATTCACATACCACAAATTCACCCTTTCAAAATGTACAGTTCACTGGTTTTTAGTATTTTCACAAAGTTGTGCAGCTATCACTACTGTAATTCCAGAACATTTTGATCACATCCAAAAGAAACCTGGTACCCATTAGCAGTCACTCACAATTCACCCCTCTCTCCAGCTCCTGGCAATCACTAATCTATTCTGTGTCTGTACAGATTTGCCTATTCTGGACATTTCATATACATGGAATCATATATAATATGAGGCCTTTTGTGCCGGGCTTCTTTCACATAGGGTAATGTTTTTAAGGTTCACCCGTGTTGTCGCATGTATGAGTACTTCATTCCTTTTTATGGTTGAATAATATTCCATACATAGTTTGTACATAACGTATTTTATTTATCCATTCATCGACTGATTGGCATTTAGGTTTTCACTTTGGGGCTATTAGGACTAATACTGCTGTGAACATTATATGCAAGTTTTTGTATGATCATATATTTTCAGTTCTCTTGACCATATATGTAAGAGTGGAATTTCTGAGTCATATGATAATTCCATATTTAGCTTTTTGAGTCAATTGGTGATTCTTAATCTGGAAGTGCTAAGGACGGGGGAAAAAGTGAATTTAATTTCATCCCTGGTAAAAATGTACTATTCTGGTGAGTGATGTTGATAATGAGGTGGGAGGCATGCATGCATGGGTGGAGGGGATCTGTGTGAAATCTCTGTATCTTCCTCTTAATTTTGTTGTAAACCTAATGCTACTCTAAGAAATAAGCCCTAAACAATATGAAACATTTTGTTAAGAATCAACTTAGATTCTGAGTGTGATATCTTACTTCTTGGATCACACATTGGTTAAAACATTTCAGTGAAATAAAAATTGTAATTATTTAAATGTGATGCTATCTTTCAGACTGAGCTTATTATATTTCAGTTGAGCTCTCATAGTTTTAGTTTTAGCTAGGTTCATACCTTTATGAAGAGAAGGATGTATTCTTTTTAACTGTCCTTTCAGGTCTGCACAGGGAAATATCTCATTCCAGGGTTGTACGGATTTGAGTTTCATGCATAGCTGACACTCCTACATAACAAGGTGTACTCTTTAGCAGTGATGTCATACTCTCTGTGTCATTCTTGTTCTCGTTTTTAAAAAAAGGTTGGAGGAGGCACAGGAATTTAAAGAAAAACAAATCTGTGTGATGTCAAAGAGTGAAAAATGTCCATGCACCTGCTAGAGCACATGTGTAGTTCATATGTAGCTAAAATACTTCATATTTGCTAATGATGAATATTAGAAAAATAATACTATTGAATACTTTTTAATTGTGGTAAACAAGTAACAAAAAGTTTATCATCTTTGCCATTTTTAAGAGTACAGTTCAGCAGTGTTAAGTATATTCACGTTGTTGTGAAACAGAGCTCCAGAATCTTCTCATCTTGCAAATGAAATTCCTTCCTCACCCTCCATCAGCTATGGTAACTGCCACTCTACCTTTGAAAATTTCTGTTACTATGAATTTGCCTATATTAGATACTTGTGTAAGTGGAATTATACAGTAATTATCTTTTTGTAATTGGTTTCTTTCACTTGGCATATTGTCCTCAAGGTTCATCCATGTCGTAGCATGTGACAGGATCTCTTTCCCTTTTTTTTTTTTTTTAAGATTTTATTTATTTATTTATTTTTAGAGAGGGGAAGGAAGGAAGGAAAAAAGAGGGAGAGAAACATGATGTGTGAGAGAAACATAGATTGGTTGCCTCTTACATGCCCCTGGTTGGGGGACCTGGCCCGCTACCTAAGCAAGTGCCGTAGCTGGGAATCAAACCAGCGACCCTTTGGTTTTCAGGCTGATGCTCAATTCACTGAGCCACATCAACCAGGGCTCTTTCCGCTAAGGCTGAATAATATTTTATGGTATGTCTATACTATATTTTGTTTATCCATTCTTCTGTCAATGGACATTTGGGTTGCTTCCACCTTTGGCTATTATGAATAGTGCTGCTGTGAATATGCGTGCGCAGATATCTCTTCATGACTCTGCTGTTGAATATTTTTGACGAAAATTGAGATAAAATAACCAGTTTATTTTGGATTATGAAAAATTTACTTAGTGGAAGCTGAAGTGATAGAAACATTTGGTAGAAATTTTGAAGATACTTTGGAGCATAATAATGAGTTTTATAGTCTTTTGCAACGCCATTCTTTCTTGTACTTACTTCACTTAAAATACATATTTACTTTTCCTTTAGGTTTAAGATTAGTATTACTTTTGAACCTATAAGTATTATTTATGAGCCAGTTTCTGGTCCTAAATGGATTAAAGTAAGGAGGAGGGGTAACTGGCCAAGAGTGACAAGTGTAAGAAGACAGGAAGAGGATGGTAGTTGTCCAGCATGCAACTGTCTCCTGTCCCCAGGTGACCTTGCTTGGGTGTTCACCACCATCCAGGTATTGGTATTGACAAGGTAAAGTCATAACAGTGTCATCCTTTTTGTTTGTGGTATCTTCAGTGATAACACTTTCTAGACCTTGAA